TCTATGACAACCGTTGTATAGTAATATAGATGTTAACACCTTAAAANCGATCTATGCATTTGTTTNATCAAATTATGAAATATATACNCTTTTCATTCTAATGAACAATCACAAAAAAAAAAAAAAAATAGAAAATACAACCTAGAAAGTATGTTTTTAGCCCAATTAACATAAGCCGTTCATTTTGGTGAGATACTTAGATCTAGGCCTTAGAAGGATTTTTTCATTTCCAATTTTTCGGATGCCTTTATTATCATTAGATGAACAATGTTAAAAAATAAAAAAGTGATTTTGAGTTTATAAAGGTTAAGATCTTGAAATTCACAAAATGAATGGTCTAGCTTCGTTTTTGGAAGGGACTCATTTTGACCATATCTAGGGTTCAAATTGAACTTTTTTTTTTTTTAGGGATTGATTATTGAGATGTAGAGAGTGTGTGCGCAAAATTTGTGGTCATACAAATACCACAAACATGGCTTTCTAGAAGTATCGTTTCATTATACTATGATACAACTGTTGCATTTGGATCATTGCTATATATATATATATATATCATAACAATAACAGCTCTGATACCATAACAATAGCAGTGGAGTAGAAATAACTAACTAATTAACAGAACGAGAATAATAAAATGCAAAGCCATAAGAATATAATAAACAATGCAACATGAACAATAGAACCTGGACTAATAAAACATAGGAACAGAAAACTTACATAAGATAAGCTTGATACAGATAAGATAAGCTTAATACACCACCAGGGTAGTTCATTTGTGCTCAAGCCAACACACTCAATACACAATTACTCAGACCATTACTGAAACTCTCGTACTCAAACTTATAACACTCTGACTCTTATTCATACAAGCACTCAAAAACTCTCCCTCTAAAGGTATGTGGCTTCCTCCTTTTATAGATGGGAAGTAGCTGGATTGAAATACGCACCGACCGCTTTAATAATGCATCGACACCTTTTGAAAAAGTAAGATTCCATTTGCAAAGTTGAAAGGTGCAACATATTCTTGCTACAATAGAAAGTTTGTCGGTAGCTATAGTAATCTGTCGGTGGCTATAATCCTCTTGTATTTTGTTGGTGGTTTTAGGGACACGTGTCCTGAGTAGATTTGGAGTCATACCGTCACTACTTAAGAATTTATTTTAGTTCGTTGGAGGAAAACTGATCCCTGCATAATCATCACCATTTAGAGGGCTATAATCCTCAATCTCATCTTCTTCTTTTATTGATGTAGACATTTTATCAACATCTTCTTCAAGTGCTAATAGTAGCTTCCTTTTAAGTTTTGCTTTTGATAATTGTAGATTCTTCTGTTGCATTATTGCAACGTATTATGTTACATCCATATTAGAATATTGTGAGGAGGAAGGTATTAATTTCATATAAATTTTTTCTGGATCCAGGGAATTATTTTTATAGTTGTCCCACCATTTTACCAATATTTATCGGCGTAACTCTAGGATATAATCTCATATGTCCATATCGTCTTCTGAGAGCTGATATGTCCATTTAAGAATCCAAGAGACCTGATATAATAAGGCCATGAGGTATAAATGATAGTTTCTTTTTAAACAATGTTTATTGTAGTCAGAGAACTTTTTCTGCGATACTTGCAGTTTTGTAGGAAGTATCTAGCTGCATGATCCCCATAAAAAGAGGTAATTTTTTAACCAGTTAGAAAATTATATAAGTTCAGTTATTTTAAACTGCACGTACCAATTATGTGAATTCTTGGTATTTTGATAGGCAACTATTACATCCCATGCTTTTATATATTCGAAAAAATGGTAGGATTTAATTTTAAATCCTATGGTATTTAACATCTTTAGTTTTAAAGGATCAAGTCCCCGGTCTCTATAAGAGATGATCTTATGAATTTGGAATTTTGAGTACCCAATTTCTACGTCATTATTTCTCTAATGGTGAACTATAGTCACCGATCCTGTTTCCATGAGTATGGCCTCATATCATTCTTTACAATTTTCTCCCATATTGGGATGTATGTGGCTTTGTAAATACATTGCTGCTATTTCAGTAGGATTTTTTGTTTTGTGATCATTTTCAACGACTATGAGTGGCATATAAGTTGTCTCAAGAAAAGAAGTTCTATTAGCACTCTAACCAAGACTATTAGTGCTTAAAGGAGATTGCCAGGGAGATATATCAATCTCTTGAAGTTGCTTTCTTATTAAAGCACTTGGAGATGTTGATGGTATAGTCAGGCCTTTACCTGGACTGAGAACTATATCCATTGGGTGATTTTGATTTTGCTTTCTCCTGTCTTCCATGCAAAAATTCTCGGGTACCATTAATATGTTCAATTGTAAATTCAAACGCTGAAAGGATACTTGCCATCAAGCAAATATTTGTTTTCAGACGAGATTTTTTACATATTTTTCAGTGATATCTTTAGTTGCCTTACAATCAGTACGAATAAGAAAATATTGATTTAGCAGGTCGCTCTAGAATTT